CCACAAAACCCAGGAAAACAACCACTACAATCCTAAAACCCAAAACCCTACAATCCCAGCCCCATCCCTGATTTTATTCCACTAAGGAGACAGGAATGAGTGGCCAATGCCCCATGCCTTGGAAGAGATAGTTGCAAGGTAGCATCCCTAAGCTTACATTCAATGTATTGTGAATTATCTCCCCCTTCCCCTGCCTATATAACTCAGGCCTTATGGCCATTGTAAAACAACCTTTTGAATATCAAAATCTTTTACTCTTTGAGTATTATTAAAATAGTGTGATGCTATTTTAGCCAAATTCCTAATTCTATATCTTAAGAGTGGTTATCTTAAGTGTGAGTTTTAGGTTCTAGATATTTGATTAAGTGTGTCATATCTTAATTAAATTCTAGATTCAAACCCCAAGTTAGGATAAGAGTGTGTAATATCTCTTAAACACCAACTTGGTTTATCTACCCCTGATTTTTTCTTCCATTTCATACCTCCCCATTTCTCCTCTTAATCTTACTCTTTTCTTCCATTAAAAAGACCCAAAAGAACTCCTTCATCATCCCCATATTTTTCCAATCCATTCCTCCACAAAAACACCCTTCTTCCTGCCCAGAATTCTGCCAATTAATCGATTATCCTTTCAGACAATCGATTATCAGCCCTTCGTTGAAACACCTGCAGTCCACTATAATCGATTATCATTTCCAGACAGTCGATTATCACTTCCTCCTGAAATCCTGCAGTCTTGAACAATCGATTGTCCCCTTCTGTTAATCGATTAACAACCCCTCCTGAAGCTCAAAGGAATTCTCCTAAGAAACTGGAACACGTGACAGTCGATTATCCTACTTGGACAATCGATTATCCACCCTTCCTGCAAAACAAGGAACTGGTTCCTTAAATCCGAGCTTAATACTGACAAACCCGGAGCTTAGATATCAACGTGTGGCTAATCCAGCCTTTTGAGAGACTCTCTCGAGTTACATTAACTGCGTTAAGCTTAAAGGTGCTCAACAAACCGATACAACTTGAGAACTCGAGTCACACGAGCCTCAACGCCTTTGCTCGGAGATACCTCACTCCAAGACTTCTCACGAAGGAACGAAAGACTTCCTTCGAGTTTACAACAAGGGAACAACCTCCCTTAAAGTGTATAGAAACACTTAAACACTCAGGAATAAAACTCTCACAAAGAGTAGATATGAGTGAACTAGTAAACGCTCAAGAACACGACAATTTCTTCAAGAATTGGCTCTCAAATAGCTAAGAAAAAATAGGAATGCTTATGCAATGAAAGAGCATTGAAATGTTGAAGAATTGTATGTAAAATGAGAGGATTTGGGTTCCATTTTATAGCCTAAAATGGGATAAACCCGTTGCTAAACTTTCCAACAGGATGAAGAAAATTTTTTCAGAGACACAGGGTGATAGTCGATTGTCATAGCTTAATAATCGATTATCAAAAGATTCCCTGTCCAAAAATTTAAAATTCTATCCGTTGGAGGACAACGGTAACCTAGACAATCGATTGTCAACAAGTGATAATCGACTATTGGTCCTCTCAGAAGTTCCAGGGTTTTGGCTGCAGACTGTGTTAGAAAAACGTCCCAACGCTAGAGGGGGGGTGAATAGCGTTTGAAACGAAAAACGATGCAGGAGTAAAAATTAAAAGCGTAAAGTAAAGAGCAAGGAAGAAGCACACCGTTTTTACCCTGGTTCACCACAACTTGTGGCTAGTCCAGCCTCCCGAGAGACTCTCTCGAGCTACACTACTATCTCGTTAAGCTTAACGGTGCTTAACGAACCTGTACAACTTGAGAGTTCGAGTCACACGAACCTCAACGAACCTTCTAAGGAAACAACCCTTCCTTCGAACAACAAGAGAAATATTTTCTCGTGTCAAGTGTCTAAGAACACTAAAAATACTCAAGAACAATACTCTCTTTTAGAGTGGATAATGAGTAACTAAGAACGCTCAAGAACATAGCACACGCTTCATAAAAATGGCTCTAAAAAGCTATGAATAAAGGATGAATGATTTGCAATGAAAGAGTAGGAGTTGTGAAATAATGTGATATATAAAACAGACCCAAACACCCCATTTTATAGTGGAAAAATAGGCTCCAATGGATCAAAACATTTACGGGGTGATTGGCACAATTTGTGGGATTTGATTAAATTTGGATCTGCTGAAATTCACCCAGACGCGCTGTCCTAGGCTTGGACATCGCTGTTCTAGGCTTGGGTTTTGAAAAATGGGAAGCAACGGTCATGCCAACAGCGATGTCCAAAACTTCTACATTGCTGTTTTGGCTGTTGACTTCCAAACAAGGAAGGGTTTAGCCTTAAATTCCTTCCAACGGTCAGGTGCCTACATCGATGTTCATTGCTTGAACATCGCTGTTTAGGCCTGACTTTGAAAGTGAAAGAAATGGCCTGACATCGCTGTTGCTGGGTCAACAGCGCTGTCCAAAAACTTTCTGCCAATGTATTTGGTTTTAGCTTAGGTTGGACAGCGATGTAAGGTAGGCTACATCGCTGTTCCAGATGTTTCTAGAAACCCAACCTTGGCTCAACAGCGATGTCTAACAACCAACATCGCTGTTGGAAGACTTAACGCCAAACCATGGTTTTCAGCTACCCATGCTAGACAGCGCTGTTGGTTACACCAACATCGCTGTTTGGCTGGTTTAGCCAGACCCATGGTTGGTTTAGTCATGCTGTTAGCCGATCTCAAAAATGTAAGTTCTCCAAAATAAAAACTAAGTATTAAAAATGTTTGTTTAATGCATTTTGCTAAGAAATCAAGTAAAACATTTTGAAAACCACGTCATTTAGTTGAAAACCACGGCTAGCCAAGTTTATGTCGTTTCGCATGGTTTTCACTAAACGACAAATAACGAAGGATGGTTTTTGAAGCGTTTTTGTTGGAGAACTATTTAAATATGCCCAGAAGTAAAAACCAATCATTAAGAGTTGAAAACGACTTGGTTGGTTCGGACACCAAAAACCAACGCCGATAACCGAAGGCCGAATGCCGGTTTCTGAAGACCGAACGCCGGATGGCTTAGTTTTTGGTTTGGGCGAAGTCCATGTGTTTTTAGGCAGGTTTAAGACTTAAGAAAACCATTTTGAATATGCAAAAAGTATTTTGATGAAATGAGCCTAGAGAGCCATGTTTTGAAAGTTTGTGCCGGTCTTGATCACATTAAAACCGACTCAATACAATTCTAAGTCTTCGTTCTTGATTCTTGGTTCTTGGTTCTCAATTCATCATGCCATGTTCCTTCTCCTTGGTTTTGCTTACTTTAACGTTGTTATTGTCACGGCGGTTTGGCATTATCAAAACTTGTCATAAAACGAACACGGTTTAGTATGACATAGGCGTAAACCCGTGTTCCAACAATTTCCCCCTTTTTGATAATGGCAAACAAGACGGGGATATGCATACTAAGGGATATTTGATTTTGAAAAAAAAATGAAGAAGTTCGTACCAATAATCGTACGATCATCGGGCCTTGGCACCAATTCCCAAACGTCATTTCATTTGAATTGGTTTAGCTCCTCTTGCATAGCCAAGGTCCAATGTTCATCGTTTATTGCTTCGGAAATGGTTGTAGGTTCAATTTGAGAAACAAAAGCCATGTGTCCTACGGTATCCCTAAGCGAGTTACGAGTACTTACCCCGCGGTTGATGCAGCCGATTACCTGGTCAAGTGGATGATTCTTGTTCACTCTCCAAGCGATGGGAAGCTCGGTTTCCTCTTGTTCCCGGGCTTCCTCGTGTTCTTCTTCGTTCGCTTGGTCCTCATTTTCGACCATCACTTGAGGTGTTTCCTCAGGTTGTGGTTCCGGATTGGTGTATAATGGCGTGTCTTCTTCATCGTTTTCAACGTGTAATTTTTCAAGTGAATCTGCAAGATCATCAGAAATAGCCTTTCTCGCCAAGCGAGTATTATCTTCGGAAAACACAATGTGAGGGGACTCCTCAATAGTCAAAGTACGTTTATTAAGCACTCTATAGGCCTTGCTACGAAGTGAGTAACCGAGAAAAATCCCTTCGTCTGACTTGGCATCAAATTTTCCCAAGTTATCTTTGCCGTTATTATGAATAAAACATTTGCAACCAAAGACTCGAAGATGGGAAAGGTTTGGCTTTCTCCCTTTGTATAATTCATAGGGCGTTTTCATGAGTATCGGTCGAATGACGGCTCGGTTATTACGTAGCTCGCGGTACTCACGACATCCGCCCAAAAATACTTAGGGATTTTTGCCTCATTGATCATAGTTCTAGCCATCTCTTCGAGACATCTATTTTTACGTTCCACCACTCTATTTTGTTGTGGTGTACGTGGGGCTGAGAAGTTATGATCAATGCCAAGTTCGTCACACAAATCTGAAAACAGATTTCGTTCGAACTCTCCCCTATGGTCGCTTCTTATGGCTACTATGGTTGTGTCTTTTTCATTTTGAACTTTCTTTAGAGATTTTTTGAAAACATGAAATGCCTCACTTTTATGAGTAAGAAACAAGGTCCATGTAAACCTAGAGTAGTCATCGACAATCACAAACGCAAAGTAATTACCACCAAAACTCTTCGTTCTAGAAGGACCAAAGAGATCCATGTGCAAAAGTTGAAGCGGTCTAGACGTTGAAACAACGTTTTTAGACTTGAATGAAGCCTGGACTTGCTTCCCCTTTTGACATGCATCACAAATGGTGTCTTTTTCAAACTTGAGTTTTGGAATGCCAATTACTAAGTCTTGTGAAACCAATTTATTCAAGAGGTTCATGTTCATGTGAGCTACTCTTCGGTGCCATAACCAAGTGTCTTCTTCTTTACCCATGAGGCACTTAGCAAAGCCGGAAGGAGATTTGTCTAAGTTAACCATACAAATATTATCGATTCTATCACCACGTAGAATAACCTTATTGTCACTAAGGCGTTCTACTGTGCATGATTTTGAGTCGAAGGTCACACGATTTCCCTTGTCACATAATTGACTTATGCTGAAGAGATTGTGTTTAAGACCTTTAACAAGCAAGACATTATCTATAGAGGAGTTTTCAGATTTACCTACCGAACCAATGCCGATAATCTTTCCCTTGCTATTATCTCAAAAAATTATGTTTCCTCATTTAGCGGGCTTAATTTGGAGAAACTTGGATGCATCCCCGGTCATGTGCTTGGAGCATCCGCTATCAAGGTACCAAAGTACACTTGATGCTTTCAAGCACACCTATGAAACACATCAATGAGTTTTAGGTACCCAATTTACGTTGGGTCCTCGTGTGTTAGGTGTGTGATGGTAGTGTGCTTGATTTTGTGATAGATGCCTATGCCTAGTGTAACAAACAGGAGCAATATGGCCTATCCTATTGCAATAATGGCAAACTACGTTGGGGTTGTACATGTGCCTAGGCTCATAATAGTTAGAGGGTTTGACCATTTTGTTCCTATTTTGTGGAAAAGATGGTCTTTGAAAGTTTTGAAATTGATCTCTTCTAGGTGCTCTAACATTATTTCTTCTATCTTGAGAAAAGTTGGTATTATGCACAAAAATCATTTTTCTTAGGTTGTCTACCATGAACATTTTCATTCCTAGGTTTTAGTCTAGGTTGTCTAGTGTCCTTAGGTTGACTAGGTTTTCTATTATTCTGATTTTTAGGCTTCTTACGTTGAACCTTAGATGGTTGTCTAGGTGGTGGCTCAACGTTTTCTTTAACCTTAGCGTCATTTTTATTGAAACTTATTCCTTCCTTAGAAAAATGCATAGTGTCAAGGAGCAAATTTAAATCTTTGTGCGGAGTATTAAATTTCTTGATCGTGCTCTCAAGTTTAGTGACTTGTTCTTTTAAAGCCTTACAAGATTCACATTCACTTGAGGAACTTTCCGGTTTGTCAGCGCTTCTTTTTCCAAAAAAATTGTTTTCTTGTTTTAATTTTTCATTGTCTTTTTCCAATTTTTCAAAATCGTTTTCAAGTGTAGAAAGACGTTTCTTTAAAGATTTATTCGTTTTGGAAGCGCTAACAAATTCTTCATAAAGTTCATGAAGTGCTTCTTGCATTTCTTCAAAAGTATAAGAGTCGGAAGAAATGGTACATACCTCTTGGACGTCGTCGTTTTGATCTTCGTGCGCCATGAGGCAAAGATTTGCAGCTTCGTCCTCCTCTTGGTCGGTTGATTCGTCGCCGGAATCGCCACCCCAAGAGATGTAAGCCCTTTGCTTCTTGAAGCCGGGCTTGTCCTTGCCATGCTTGGCTTTTGGACACCTTGGCTTGATGTGGCCAATCTCGCCACAGCCGTAGCACTTGGGAGGACCGTCGTGCTTTCTTCCCTTCCGCTCAAATTCCTTCTTCATGAACTTGTGAAACTTCTTGATGACGAGTCCAAACTCGTTGTCGTCATCGCTAGAAACCTCTTCCACTGGTTCCTTGGTGGCTTTGAGAGCTATCCCCTTTTTCTTTTGTTCATCCAAAGACGGGGTTAGAATAGTAGATTCATAGGTTTTAAGATTACCTCTTAGCCCGTCGATGGTGACGTTGGAGACTCCAATGGATTCATAGATTGCATCGGCTTTTGATCTCCATTCGGGGGTGAGACTTCACAGGATTTTCCTTACGAGATCCTTGTTGGTATATGTCTTCTTAAGAGCATGAAGATCGTTTATAATCTTTGAGAACCGATCAAACATGTCGTCGATTTTCTCACCTTCCTTCATTCGGAACATTTCATATTCTTGGGTGAGAAAATCGATCTTGGCTTCACGCACTTGATCGGTACCATCGTACGTCACTTCAAGCTTGTCCCACATCTCCTTGGCGGTTGTGCAACAGGAGATCTTTCGGTAGTCATCGGGGTATACCGCACAATATAGCATGTTGATGGCCTTTGCATAGTTTTCAACCTTCTTGATGTCTTCAGCATCAAACTCGTCCTCGGTCTTTGGGACGGTGGTTTCTCCCACTTTCTTCATTGGGATTTGCTCGCCATTTTTGATGACCAACCACAATTGGAAGTTGGTGGAACGGATATAGATTCTCATCCGTTCCTTCCAATAGGAGTAGTTTGTCCCATCAAAAAGCGGTGGCCTAGAGGTGGATTGCCCTTCGCCAATACCTGCGTACAAATTTTTAGAAGAAGAGCCCATGATCTTATTCCTCTCAAACGGTTAAGTCTGGAAAAGAGTTAGGCTCCGATACCAATTGTTAGAAAAACGTCCCAACGCTAGAGGGGGGGTGAATAGCGTTTGAAACGAAAAACGACGCAGGAGTAAAAATTAAAAGCGTAAAGTAAAGAGCAAGGAAGAAGCACACCGTTTTTACCCTGGTTCACCACAACTTGTGGCTAGTCCAGCCTCCCGAGAGACTCTCTTGAGCTACACTACTATCTCGTTAAGCTTAACGGTGCTTAACAAACCCGTACAACTTGAGAGTTCGAGTCACACGAACCTCAACGAACCTTCTAAGGAAACAACCCTTCCTTCGAACAACAAGAGAAATATTTTCTCGTGTCAAGTGCCTAAGAACACTAAAAACACTCAAGAACAATACTCTCTTTTAGAGTGGATAATGAGTAACTAAGAACGCTCAAGAACACAGCACACACTTCACAAAAATGGCTTTAAAAAGCTATGAATAAAGGATGAATGATTTGCAATGAAAGAGTAGGAGTTGTGAAGTAATGTGATATATAAAACAGACCCAAACACCCCATTTTATAGTTGAAAAATAGGCTCCAATGGATCAAAACATTTAAGGGGTGATTGGCACAATTTGTGGGATTTGATTAAATTTGGATCTGCTGAAATTGAGACAGTGCTGTCCTAGGCTTGGACATCGCTGTTCTAGGCTTGGGTTTTGAAAAATGGGAAGCAACGGTCATGCCAACAGCGATGTCCAAAACTTCTACATCGCTGTTTTGGCTGTTGACTTCCAAACAAGGAAGGTTTTAGCCTTAAATTCCTTCCAACGGTCAGGTGCCTACATCGATGTTCATTGCTTGAACATCGATGTTGTTATATCCGGGCCTGGCCCTATCATACCCTCCCCCATGTCCCACACCATCATAAAAACCGAAGGACTTAGGTTCAAACATTATGATCCATTTTAATAAGAATTCGAAGTCCTTCAACCCGAGAGGCCAAAAATAACTTCGGACCTAAGGGTTCTGCCAACCAACTCCCACTTCGCCAAACCCCACCCTCAACATCCAAAACTCCTTTCCATTTAATTCCTTTCAAAATAAAGTTTTCCTACACTTATTTTCGCCCATGGCCGAAAATAAGGTTGTGTAAAATAAAACCTTTTGTTTGTTGTTATTTTCCTTCTTTTAAGCCTTTTATTCAACAAATAAAACCCACCCTCTATTCCATTCACCCATACACTTCACAATCCCAACATAAACACCGACAAAGAACCAAAACCCTGACCCACCACTAGCCACTCATTCCTGCCCATATTCCCTCACAAATAACCCAAACCTATAAGTCCAAAACCACCCATTATAGCCCCCATCCCTGCCCCCTTTTCTCAGCAAACACAACCCCTCATATTTACCCAAATAATAGCCTTAAAACCCAGAAAACAACCACTACAAACCAAAGCTCAAAACCCCCACAAACCCAGCCTCATCTCTGATTTTTAAGACCACCAAGGAGACAGGATTGAAGAAAGATTACCCCATGTTTGGAGGTGGATGTTGCTAGGAAGCTTCCTCATGTCTACATTCAATGTATTTTGTCTTTCCCCCTTCCCCTCTCCCTATATAATCA